TGTCTGGTTGTAGATACAGGGATCAGCTGTCTGGTTGTAGATACAGGGATCAGCTGTCTCGTTGTAGATACAGGGACCAACTGTCCGGCTGTAGATACAGGGATCGGCTGTCTGGCTGTAGATATAGGGATCAGCTGTCTGGCTGTAGATACAGGGATCAGCTGTCCGGCTGTAGATACAGGGATCAGCTGTCTGGCTGTAGATATAGGGATCAGCTGTCTGGCTGTAGATACAGGGATTAGCTGTCTGGTTGTAGATACAGGGACCAACTATCTGGCTGTAGATACAGAGTGTAGCTCTCTAGGTGTAGATACAGGGACCAACTGTCTGGCTGTAGATACAGAGAGTAGCTCTCTAGGTGTAGATGCGGGGAATAGCTCAAATGTTCCAGCCACGTATGCATGGAGTAACGGACAGGTTGAAGATACAGGGACCAACTGTCTGGCTGTAGATACAGAGAGTAGCTCTCTAGGTGAAGATACAGGGACCAACTGTCCGGCTGTAGATACAGAGAGTAGCTCTCTAGGTGAAGATACAGGGACCAACTGTCTGGCTGTAGATACAGAGAGTAGGTCTCTAGGTGAAGATACAGGGACCAACTGTCTGGCTGTAGATACAGAGAGTAGGTCTCTAGGTGTAGATGCAGGGAATAGCTCAAAGGTTTCAGCTACATGAGTAACTGCAAGCTTGAAGATAAAGGGAGTAACTGTCAGGTTGTAGACATGGGGAATAGCTCAAATGTTCCAGCCACATATGCATGGAGTAGCGGACAGGTTGTAGATACAGGGACCAACTGTCTGGCTTTAGATACAGAGAGTAGGTCTCTAGGTGTAGATACAGGGAATAGCTCAAATGTTCCAGCTACATGGAGTAACTGCAAGCTTGAAGATAAAGGGAGTAACTGTCTGGTTGTAGGTGCAGAGAGTAGCCCTCTGGTTGTGGACATAAGGAATAGCTCAATAGCTCCAACTACATGGAGTAACTAACAGGTTCACTATGCATGGATCAACTGTCTGCTTAAAGATGCAAGGAAAGGCTGACATGTCGTAGCTACATGGAGTAACTTAGTCTGTTATACAGACCCTGACGAAACCCCACGCAAGTCTAGAAAATGTGGCAAGTCTAGATTTCCACACCTTCCTGAAAATGAAGAAAGTCTCAGGGCTCCTTTTTATCATATTTTGGTTTTCTTTCACTATGAGCCCTTTTTCTGTAAAAATGTTCATTTCAGAGACTAGTTGTTAGTCTAGGAGTAACTGACAGGCTGTAGATACAGAGAGTAACTATCGTGTTGCAGATGCAGGGAGGAGCTGGCAGGTTCTAGATACTGCCTGGGTGTATAACTATCTGGTTGGATAGACAGGTTGTAGTAAATACGGATTGTAGCATGCATGGAGTAGCTGTCTGGTTGTAGTTACAGGGTTAAATTGATAGGTCAAGTTCAAGATAACTGTCAGGTTCAAGATTCATGGCATAACCGACAGGTTCAAGATACAGGAAGTGGCTGACAGGTTGTAGATAGAGGAATAGACTAACAACTAGTCTCTGAAATGAACATATGTTACAGAAAAATGCTCATAGATACATGGAGTAACTGGCAGGTTCAAGATACATGGGGTGACTGGCAGGTTCAAGATACAGGGGGTGACTGGCAGGTTCAAGATACATGCAGTAACTGGCGGTTTCCAGCTACATGGAGTAACTGACAGGTTCAAGATGCATGGAGTATCTGACAGGTTCAAGATGCATGGAGTATCGGACAGGTTCAAGTTGCATGGAGTATCTGACAGGTTCAAGATGCATGGAGTAACTGACAGGTTCAAGATGCATGGAGTAACTGACAGGTTCAGGTTATGTGGAGTAACTGACAGGTTCAGGTTACATGGAGCAACTGACAGGTGCAAGATATATGGAGTAACTGACAGGTTCCAGCTACATGGAATAACTGACAGGTTCAAGATGCATGGAGTAACTGACAGGTTCAAGATATATGGAGTAACTGACAGGTTCAGGTTACATGGAGTAACTGACAGGTGCAAGATATATGGAGTAACTGACATGTTCCAGCTACATGGAGTAACTGACAGGTTCAAGATGCATGGAGTAACTGACAGGTTCCAGCTACATGAAGTAAATGACAGGTTCAGGTTATGTGGAGTAACTGGCAGGTTCCAGCTACATGGAGTAACTGACAGGTTCAAGATGCATGGAGTATCTTACAGGCACAAGATGCATGGAGTAACTGGCATGTTCAAGATATATGGAGTAACTGACAGGTTCCAGCTACATGGAGTAACTGGGAGGTTCAAGATGCATGGAGTAACTGACAGGTTCCAGCTACATGGAGTCACTGACAGGTTCCAGCTACATGGAGTAAATGACAGGTTCAGGTTACGTGGAGTAACTGGCAGGTTCAAGATGCATGGCGTATCTGACAGGCACAAGATGCATGGAGTAACTTGCAAGTTCCAGTTACATGGAGTAAATGACAGGTGCAAGATATATGGAGTAACTGACAGGTTCACGATGCATGGAGTATCTGACAGGCACAAGATGCATGGAGAAACTGACAGGTTCAAGATATATGGAGTAACTGACAGGTTCAAGATATATGGAGTAACATACAGGTTCAAGATGCATGGAGTAACTGGCAGGTTCCAGATGCATGGAGTAACTGACATGTTCCAGCTTCATGGATTATCTGACAGGTTCAAGATGCATGGAGTAACTGGCAGGTTCCAGCTACATGGAGTAACTGACAGGTTCAAGATATATGGAGTAACTGACAGGTTCAAGATGCATGGAGTAACTGGCAGGTTCCAGCTACATGGAGTAACTGACAGGTTCAAGATATATGGAGTAACTGACAGGTTCAAGATGCATGGAGTAACTGGCAGGTTCAAGATGCATGGAGTATCTGACAGGTTCAAGATGCATGGAGTAACTGACAGGTTCAAGATGCATGGAGTAACTGACAGGTTCCAGCTACATGGGAATAACTGACAGGTGCAAGATATATGGAGTAACTGACAGGTTCAAATTACAGGGAGTAGCAATTGACAGGTTGTAAATACAGGGATTAGCTGTCAGGTTGTAGGTAGATGGTACTGCTGACATGTTCCAGGTACAGATGACTTACTGGAGGAGTTTCACGATACATTGACTATCTGTCAGGCTGTAGATAGAGTGAATAAACTGACAGATTCATATATGTTGTAACTGTTTGTTTGTAGATACAAGGAGTAACTGGTTCCAGATACATGTAGTATATACATCATACATCCATGACTTTAGTGACAACTGAAGAAATAACGTGCAGAATTCAACAGGTGTTATAAATGTTACGTTTTGATAAGCAGTTCGTCACACAAGTGATTTTTCATTTTGTTTTTAAATTCTGACACTATATTTTCAAAGTAACCTAAATGTACTATACATCTGTTATCCAAGCAGCTAGTCGGTTGCAGCAGAGATACCAGTCGTCATAGATTGACAGAAAACATTTACCTATAATATTCTATCCCTTATTAAATATGTCCCTCAGCCAGTGCTTTGAGTCACCATACATGTTAATTTATTGATTCATTTCCAAAGTTTGATACCATTTATATAGCTCTTAAAACAAGCAGCCAATTACAGAGATTTGTCTCAACAAATCATACTGACTACCAAAGAGGATGTATATGATACATTAATAGAATTATAGGACATATGAATCTTCTTCTTTACGTAATAATATGTTGACAATATATTTTCCCTTACATGCATCTATTATTTAGCTTTACCTTTATATCCTGATTTCCATTCAACAGTTCACGGAGGCATCTGTTGCATTATCTCTTTGTTAGGAATCAATATGGCAAAGTAAATATGTTTTTAATCAAATATTGTTATGATAACATAAATTCGAATTTAAGCCATAATCATTCCATTTAGATATTATTATGGTTATGCATTTATTTATATTTGACATCACATGTAACATATTATACTTATGTATAATGACTGGTAAACGTGTAATGTAATATTAAAGTAATAATATCGTACAAAATATCAGTGAAAAGTCCTTAATGCAGATATCTAATGACGTAAAAAACTAAAAACATTGATATTATTGCCTTTTTGTGTGTGTGTGAGAGAAAAAATGATGACGTTAATTACTACTTGTGTGTGAGAAAATATATTTACAAAGGAAACATAAAAAGCTAGGTCTAAATATGAAATATGAGCTTTGCTATATTATTGTTTCTCCCTTCTCTCCGTTATATACCTGCGAAATATTTGTGTTGCTGTCAAAAATCCATATATGTACGTTGCATACAAGACCTTCACATTTCATGTAATGTATCGACTACCCGCCGTACTGAATTGCATGCATATAACCTTATATGAAAGAGATTTGAACTTGTATACAATGAAAATACACCCCAGGTTTAACATTGTGATATTTAGACATCTTGTGCAAAACTTAAATTACCGATTGTAAAACGACAAAACCTAAATGAACGATCAGCTGATTCCACCGCCTCGCTTCGAACGGGGAGTGAGTGAGGGGGGTAGTTTTACGCCGCACTCAGTAATATTCCAGGTATATGGCGGCGGTCTGTAAATAATCAATTGATAATCGTCTGATAATAATGATTGATCTAGGAACCATGGGACAAATATTTCAGGAAATAACGCTTGATAGATAATCGTTTCGGGGAAAACATAAACTGTCCATGCACCATCGTAAACGTTATCGGTGAAGTTGAAGGCCATACTGGTAAACTGTCTGTAGGCGTAATATTTAGTAACACGTACAGCTCGCGTCGCACATACGACATGCCCTGTCAGTTGACCGTCCGGATCGGCGTATCTTGCGGGCTAGTGAAGGGCAGATAACTTTAAAAAGATCGCCCATTAGTTACGACCTACTTTTCGTTTGGCAACCAACGTTAGTGCTTTCTAGTTTTAGAGTTACCTCCACCAAAATTAAGTGTATGACTTTTCTCCGACAGGTCTGGTTAGCAGCTGTTTTGCTGCCTGCGACTTTGGTGCCATAGGGAAATGCTCAGATGAATTGGGAAAAAAATCTGGTGGCCAACAAGACAAGTCAAGCCTCTGCAGGTACCTATACAAAGCTTTCATTGTCTCAGTTATTTTAGTAAATATGTCTTAAGTTTTCATCAAAGTCAAAATTCAAGGTTAAAAGCTGATCAAAGTCAGAATATGAATATACCAAGAAAACAGTGACTCTTCATCTTCTCAAGTTGTGTTTATTGACAACCTGCATTCATTTTTCTCAAATAAAATTGCTTAAAAATTCTGGGTGGCAATTGTCCTAACTATTATAGCAAAAATAACTGGGTGGCAATTGTCCTGTGTGGCAATTGCCCTAATTGTCCGGGTGGCAATTGTCCGGGTAGCAATTGTCCTGTGTGGCAATTGTCCGGGTGGCAATTGCCCTGGTCCAGCATCTATCTATGCATTTTGTAACGCTGTCTTTGTTAGCTATACCTTCACATTCACTTGTCTTGTCCCTGCACATTTGCTTTTGCTATCAAATTACTGTGTATTTTTTTTAATGCATACTCGTTCGCTGTCTACTTGTTTTGAAAAATTAACTTTAGATGAAAATGATTTGAAGTTACACATTGGTTGCATCATTGACATTTAGGTCCCCGTAACAACATTGTCTGAGCAAATTATGTTATAATTCACTCTTTAATTTCAATATACAACCTCCGATGCGGATGCTTGTTCTCAGTACATACAGCCATTGTTTGCACACTCTTTCAGATGGTAACCGTTCACCATATGTCCCTGTTCCTGTGCTACCCGTAAATTGTACCTGTTGTCAGTACTTGCACACTCTTTCAGATGGTAATTGTTCTTGGTAACTGTTCACTCAATGCTCCTGTTTCTATTCCTCTTCGTAAATTGTACCTCTTGTCAATACTTGCACACTCTTTCAGATGGTAACTGTTCTTGGTAACCGTTCACCCAATGTCCCTGTTCCTGTACTACCCGTAAATTGTACCTGTTGTCAGTACTTGCACACTCTTTCAGATGGTAATTGTTCTTGGTAACTGTTCACTCAATGCTCCTGTTTCTATTCCTCTTCGTAAATTGTACCTCTTGTCAATACTTGCACACTCTTTCAGATGGTAACTGTTCTTGGTAACCGTTCACCCAATGTCCCTGTTCCTGTACTACCCATTGTCCTTGTTTTCAGTACTTGCACACTCTTTCAGATGGTAACTGTTCACCTAATGCCCCTGTTTTCAGTACTTGCACACTCATTCTTATGGTAACTGTTCACCCAATGCCCCTTTCAGATGGTTGTTCACCTACTGCCCCTGTTTTCACTACTTGCACACTCATTCTTATGGTAACTGTTCACCCAATATCCCTGTTTGCAGTACTTGCACACTCTTTCAGATGGTAACTGTTCACCTAATGCCCCTGTTTTCACTACTTGCACACTCATTCTTATGGTAACTGTTCACCCAATATCCCTGTTTTCAGTACATTCACACTCTTTCAGATGGTAACTGTTCACCCATTGTCCTTGTTTTCAGTACTTGCACACTCTTTCAGATGGTAACTGTTCACCTAATGCCCCTGTTTTCACTACTTGCACATTCATTCTTATGGTAACTGTTCACCCAATATCCCTGTTTGCAGTACTTGCACACTCTTTCAGATGGTAACTGTTCACCTAATGCCCCTGTTTTCACTTCACTACTTGCACACTCATTCTTATGATGTAACTGTTCACCCCTTGTTTTCAGTACTTGCACACTTTCAGATGGTAACTCACCTGCCCCTGTTTCACTACTTGCACACTCTTCTTATGGTAACTGTTCACCCAATATCCCTGTTTTCACTACTTGGACACTCTGATGGTGTTCTTATGGTAACTGTTCACCTAATGCCCCTGTTTTCAGTACTTGCACACTCTTTCAGATGGTAACTGTTCACCCAATATCCTTGTTTTCAGTACATTCACACTCTTTCAGATGGTAACTGTTCTTGCTTACTGTTCACCCAATGCCCCTGTTTTCACCACTTGCACACTCTTTCTGCTGGTAACTGTTCACCCAATGACGGGAAATGTATAAGATTGCTAAATATGAAAAAAATATAAAAAGGTTACATATGAACATACTCACCATATCCTGAATAAAACTTTGACAAGTTCTGTTCGTTTGCCAACAGAATTTACGGCGAGTTCAAAAGCTGCTTGGGATCTATGAAAGACTGTGATCTTTCTGATACACTGAAAACTATGGAAAGTAGTCTGAAGCAGTCAAGCGGTGTTGACTTAGGCACATGTAAGTATTGTATAATCCTTGTAAGGTCTTCAGGGACAATCTGTGAAACCCATTTCCGAGATATTGCAGGATCATTGCTAAACGTTGAGTACAATATGTGTTATGTATGAGATCACATGCAGCAAAATGGACGACATGTCATTATTCATCAATCACATTGACCATCTTACAAGTGTTGAATATAATGAACTCCAGTCATTTCACTGGTCAATTGACAACCGTGAGTTGGAATATTGTAAAGGTCATCAGGCACTTACGAATTCCAGCTATTGTTCTGGGTATCAGGCAAATTCCTGGCATTGTACTAGCCACGTGGCAACCGTCAGCTCCAGTCATTGTTCTAGCCCACTGACAATCATGATATCCAGTCATTGCCCTGGCCATCTGGCAATCATGAACTCCAGTCATTGCACTGGCCATCTGGCAATCATGAACTCCAGTCATTGCACTGGCCATCTGGCAATCATGAACTCCAGTCATTGCACTGGCCATCTGACAATCATGAACTCCAGTCATTGCACTGGCCATCTGGCAATCATGAACTCCAGTCATTGCAATCTGGCAATCATGAACTCCAGCAATCATGAACTCCAGTCATTGCACTGGCCATCTGACAATCATGAACTCCAGTCAGTGCATGGCCATCTGGCAATCATGAACTCCAGTCATTGCACTGGCCATATGACAATCATGAACTCCAGTCATTGCATGGCCATCTGGCAATCATGAACTGGCAATCAGTCAGTGCATGGCCATCTGGCAATCATGAACTCCAGTCATTGCACTGGCCATCTGGCAATCATGAACTCCAGTCATTGCACTGGCCATCTGGCAATCATGAACTCCAGTCATTGCACTGGCCATCTGGCAATCATGAACTCCAGTCATTGCACTGGCCATCTGGCAATCATGAACTCCAGTCATTGCACTGGCCATCTGGCAATCATGAACTCCAGTCATTGCACTGGCAATCATGAACTCCAGTCATTGCACTGGGCCATCATCTGGCAATCATGAACTCCAGTCATTGCCCTGGCCATCTGGCAATCATGAACTCCAGTCAATCCATCTGGCAACTCCAGTCATTGCATGGCCATCTGGCAATCATGAACTCCAGTCATTGCACTGGCCATCTGGCAATCATGAACTCCAGTCATTGCACTGGCCATCTGGCAATCATGAACTCCAGTCATTACCCTGGCCATCTGGCAATCATGAACTCCAGTCATTGCACTGGCCATCTGGCAATCATGAACTCCAGTCATTGCACTGGCCATATCTGGCAATCATGAACTCCAGTCATTGCAATCATGAACTCCAGTCATTGGCCCTGGCCATCAATCATGGCAATCATGATCTGGCAATCTCCAGTCATTGCATTGCAATCATGAACTCCAGGCCATGGCCATCTGGCAATCATGAACTCCAGTCATTGCACTGGCCATCTGGCAATCATGAACTCCAGTCATTGCACTGGCCATCTGGCAATCATGAACTCCAGTCATTGCACTGGCCATCTGGCAATCATGAACTCCAGTCATTGCACTGGTCATCTGGCAATCATGAACTCCAGTCATTGCACTGGCCATCTGGCAATCATGAACTCCAGTCATTGTGAAGATCATCAGGTAATCATGATTTCCAAATACTGTACTGATCATCTAGAAACAATGAGCTGCAGACATTGCGGTGGCCATCTGACAGTCAAGAGTAGCAGTTATTGTACTGGTCACGTGACAACAATGAGTTCAAGCAATTGTATTCATTATGTATCAATTATGAGCGCCAATCTTTGTACTGGTAATCTCGCAATACTTATTTCCATTGCTTCAGGTTAACCCTTAACCAAAGTCTCTCTGACGACCTCTAGCCAGTATATTGATTTTTCCATAGAGAGGCAATTTTAATGTATTTAATCATTGTAACTTGTATTTTATGTCCACTTGCAGTCGTTGATGGCTTAATGGTCTTATAATTATGTTTAATAATAATATAACCATGTGCATTTTCGCAAAAAGAGTAGTTATTGAGTTCGCAAGGGAATTATGGAACCAGATCTACTTTAATTCCAAGTATACTTGTTCGATTTAAACATGGCGTCTTTACATTGTTGTTCCAAGGACTGCTAGAAAATACAAAAGAGAATTTAATCATTTCGTAAATATACAAATAAAACAGTTTTGGTTACTGGATTCCATCAGTTCCGCATAACGTAGTTTTTTTATAAATTACAAACTATTAGGAACTTCCTGCTTTCGCAAAGATTAGTGATCATTTCCACATGCAATTTCACACTTGTGTTTATGTTTATGTGGAGATGTCAAATTAAATGACTAAACTGTCAACCGTAAAATCAATGGGGTGGGGCCGGGGTAGCCTAGTGGTTAAAGCGTTCCGCAGACCCGGGTTCGATTCCCCACATGGGTACAATGTGTGACGCCCATTTCTGGTGTCCCCCGCCGTGATATTGCTGGAATATTGCTAAAAGCGGCGTTAAACCAAAGTAACTCACTTAAAATCAAACATAGATGACTTTTGCAAATTTCGGGATCCGCTGCCGACTGTCTACATGTTGCATATATTAATGATGATCGGGAATCTAGACGTTTCTCCTCTATATTCCAGGCTCCGCTGGGACGATGGTTCAAGTGTCCATAGCCTGTGTCCTCCTGGCCCTGTTTGCGTCCATGTTTACGAGATAATTACATCCACCGAGTGTCTTAGTCCACTTCTGTCTTGTTCTACCATGTCACTTTTATAACTACAATAATTAGTCAACATGTCTGCTTTAGTCAGTAAATTCAGCGGCCAGATAAACGTTTTTCTACTCAACAAAGTAACGTCTTCGAAGTGTCTGTCATCATACACTATAATAAAATGTTTTTATAAGTTTATTTCATTTTTTTCTCTTGTTTCTACATTATGACTTCGTCATAACCGATTATGTCAGACTATTGCATGTGAAAGGGAGCTGTGGGGTAGCCTCGTGGTTAAAGCGTTCGCTCGTCTCGCCGAGGACCCGGGTTCCATTCCCCACAAGGGTTCAATGTGTGAAGCCCATTTCTGGTGTCCCCTGCCGTGATATTGCTTGAATATTGCTAAAAGCGGCGTAAAACCATACTCACTCACTGTATGTGAAAGGTGTCAGTCAAACCGGCACACAAGTTCCATTTACAATCTGCGTTGCATTCTGACCTACACACAGAATTGATGGTATCCAAACTGTTATTCTACCTTACCGATATAACAAAAACCTCGGACTCAGTCTCAATCCACGTGATATCGTCTTGAGCAAACACACACACCAATCGACAAAACGGAAAACACAAATCTTTTTAAAATAGTATTACATATTGACTTTGCTTTTGAAATTGTTAACAGGGCTTTGATTTGTTGATAAATGTCTAATACTGCAGGGTAAGCAATGTATGTTGCTCAATGTGGTTGGTTAAAAAAAAATTATGATACACTTAAGGAATAAGATGGACATAAATACTGTTTCGATTTGAGAATTCTTTGTGCTTAAGTACCATGAAGGTGTCCTATGTCTGACTGGGTAAAACAAGTAACGACGCCAAGTTTAAATAGGTTAAACAACATACAATTGTATGCATTTTGTTGCCTTACAAACAACATCATGCGATTAGCGAACGATATTTTTACCGGAATTATAATGCTCTTGAAATAACGTGAACAGAACCAATGTGTCATCAATTTAGTATGTTATTCTAATCATCTCTAATTGGCTAGCACATTATTATTATTGGCATGTTGATTGGTAAATGCAGTTAAATGCGAAATAGTTCCAACCTCGGTCCAAGGTTTTTGTTTGATAGCGTTTCATAAACACAGAGCCATCGTAGGTACGTTGATCATAGATACCTAACATGGACTTACGACTGTCGCAGAAATACGGTCAATTCGAGCAATGTGCATAAATATGAGATAAACTGCAGTCTGTCTCACAGTCCCTGAACCACAATATTTTCCCTACTGCCAAGCCCAGTCTGCAGTGCTGAAGCTCTAAATAGAGCAAGTCTAGATTTCCGAGAAAAAAATGTGAGTTTAGCTTTACGCCGCATACAGCAATATTCCAGCTATATGGAGGCGGTCTGTAAATGATCGAGTCTGGACCAGACCAACACCATGAGCATCGATCTGCGCAATTGGGAACCGGTGACATGTGTCAACCAAGTCAGCGTGTCTGACAACCCGATCCCGTTGGACGCCTCTTAGGACAAGCATGGATTTCTGAAGATCAATTCTAACCCGGATCTTCACGGGTAGAAAGATGAAAGAGAGACGATGACACCTAAACGCTGGCATATGACGAGCGACACATATATTCAAATAGAGGGAGAGAGAAAGTAGGTGAGAGAGTGAGAGGTGAATGATAACACTTAGCTAACCTTTGAAAAACAGGAACCCAAGTAGCGCATATATATACTCTTTTATTCCTCCATAGGAGATTACAATAACAGCAGGGAAAAACAATTAGATTAAATCATGGATAGTTTGTTATGCGTGTAATTTAAGAGTCAATATAGTGGCAGAGGCTGTAGAACCCCTCGATCAGCACAGACTAGTACAGCTGGAGGTCATCTTCCTGCAGGGTGACTGGGGGCTGACAGGACAGGAAGCAGGATACTATGTCTGCATCAGATCTTGTGTGGAGACTGACACTCAGCACTATTGGGTTGATACTGGCGATGTTACACCACAGAGTGTCTCTCGCAGACTCGATAGCAACACAGCAACATGCAATATGTGTTAACCGGTCGTTCCAATTAGCAAATCGCTTTATTAAAATGCGATAAATATATTAATACACACACCAAACATCCTCGTATACAGGAACACAAATCCAGTTGTATACAACTACTATAAACTAATTCATGACGCACACACGCGCGCAAGCACACACGCACGCACGCACGCACGAACACAAACAATAGCATACACTAAACAAAAAACACAAACACACAACAACAAAAAACCCGGACACAAATACAGAGAGAGAGAGAGAGAGAGAGAGAGAGAGAGAGAGAGAGAGAGAGAGAGAGAGAGAGAGAGAGAGAGGGAGAGAGAGAGAGAGGAGAGAGAGAGAGAGAGAGAGAGAGAGAGAGAGAGGAGAGAGAGAGAGAGAGAGAGAGAGAGAGAGAGAGAGAGAGAGAGAGAGAGAGAGAGGAGAGAGAGAGAGAGAGAGGAGAGGAGAGAGGGAGAGAGAGAGAGGTAGGGAGGAGAGAGAGAGAGAGAGAGAGAGAGAGAGAGAGAGAGAGAGAGAGAGAGAGAGATGAGTGCAATGAGTGGAGTCACGGATACCTGAATGCACAATAAAGGGTTATTTATGAGCTTAGTGATAGCCTTAGAAGGAAGCCGTAAAAGGTAATATCACTTAAAGGTTGTTTCGTTGTGCATCTAAAAACTGTGAATATAAATATGTGATCTTTATTGCGAATATGGTTTGTTCAGACACAAATCCTGGTTGTTTATATTGTACAACGGTGTACCGTTTTTCCTGTAATAATAATGAATACATTTTTTTTAAATTATGATATATGTTAACAGGTCATAGAGAATATATCCTTTGACAAAACGTTTTCACAGAAACGTATCCGTAAAATGTATACCTCAAACCAATTGGAACAGTCCTCGTGCGGCGCTTGTTCGGATTTCAGGACATAAATACACAGCTGATGAGCAAGTTTGCACTCCGACATTCTGGTGTCTGAGGACATAAACAATACCACAAATATATATCCACAAAAAACATTCGAAAAGAAGCTCACAAAATGCCTTTATGGGCTTGTTAAATCATTCTAGACATGACTTGGGTTCGTGGTCAAATGTATTCACTAGTGTACAGGAGGCCAACTTCTTCCATTCAATGCGGAATATAAATTAAATCACAATTCCCCACACTGAGAAACGTTTTATCTGTTAACTCTCATACAAACAAAATCAATTGTACCACTTTTCCTTGCATCGTCATTACGAGCGGTCTGTTCCTGAAGTAGTGTCGAAGGTACTTCCCTTTGCTTCGTCGCTAAAGGCGCCACCTGTTCGTATGTCGCCATGGTTATGTTGGCATTGCGATGGATGTCTGTCAGTTACGATCAGATTGCCAAATTTAAGAGAGCAAAACGTGGAATCTTTTTAATATCATTTAGTCAGGTTGTTAGATACAGAGAACCGATGTCCCTGAGGATTTTAGCGAAGACCAAGAACCCATGTATTTCACTATCATAGGAATATTGACTTAAGCAGAGACCGTAATATTATATGGTCTCTGACTTAAGTCTCGCGAGGGGCTAATTCCGGTACTAAGCTGGTTCCCGGCTCCCTTTGCGCGCACTAGCTTGCGATGTGCGAGACGGGGCCCAGCATACTTCCGGTACGAGATTTGCGCACTCTCCTACCCAGAGTTCCATGCGGCCAGCCAGCATAGTACGTCTGCCCACGTACGGCAAATTGTAGCTAAAATAGGGTTGCGCATCAAAGACAAAATGACCAGTCTTCCCATATGCGAGCGAAGAGAGCAAAGGTTGGCAACGTGCTTCCCTCGCTTCGGTTCAAAAAATATTTTTAATGTCAAAATAAAATATCACCATCATCAAAGGTAGACACCCATGTCCTCACAGAGTTGTGCTCTCAGATTTCCAACCTCATATTTAATAATTACTCACGTACAATATATTTAATCAACATTTTTTCGTGGCATGTCAAATCGTTCTTCGCCTCCATTACCCCTGACAGCTTCCGGTTCAACGGAGGGAAGGAACAGGGGAGTTAAATTTAAATATGCTTTCATTTACCCGTTACGCCATAAGTGTTTCTGTAGAATAAATGTTACGAAATTCGAACAATAACGACGGCAGATATCGTGTTTATCTGACACAGCTGTACAGTTGCAGAGGAAGATAAATGTGCTCGAGCAATTTTGTAATGATACAGGCATGAGTATAAACTTGAGTAAAACAAAAATTATGTATTTTTCGTAAAGGTGGTCCCCTACGCCACTATGAGAAATGGTTTTTTAAGGGCAGGAAAATAGAAGTAGTAAATGTATATAGATACCTAGGTGTTGTGTTTACACCATCTCTCTCATGGACTAAGGCTCAGTGCTGTCTTTCTGCTCAAGCACAAAAAGCTTGTATGTCATTGTATAACTATCAAAATAAATTTGGAGCAATTTCAAGTTTAGATATATTCAAAAGTTTTGATGCAGCTATTTGTCCTATCCTTTCTTATGGAGCAGAGATCTGGGGCACATCATACTGTAGACAGATAGAAAGTTTGCAAATATACTTCTGTAGAAGGTTTTTGAAAGTTAGTAAATATACCAGCAATGTTATGGTGCTGGGTGAATGTGGCAGAGTTCCCCTACAATATCAGTACATGTCTAGATGTGTTAAATATTGGTGTAGATTGCTTCAGTTAAATACTCACAGGTTGCCATATCAGTGTTATCAAATGCTTATGTTACTGGATAAAGCTGGTAGAAATACTTGGGCCACATCTGTTAAAAACATTCTGTATCAGTTTGGTTTTGGTATTGTGTGGTTATCCCAAGATGTAGGTAATGTAAATTTATTTATGTTTACTTTCAAACAAAGGTTGTATGACAGTCTATGTCAAGACTGGCATTCTTTAATATCCAATTCATCACAGTGTAATGTATATAGTAAATTTAAGTCATTGCTGAATGTAGAAAGATACTTAAGCGTAGATATCCCATATTATTACAAGCATGTCATTTCCCAATTTAGGTGTAATAATTTCCGTTTAGTGGTTGAGTTAGGTAGGCACAAAAACATCAATTATGCTGACAGGATTTGTACTTATTGTTGTACTAAAGGCTTACACTTAGTGGAGGATGAATTTCATGTTCTCTTAATATGTGAGAGATATGAAGATTTTAGACAAGAATGCCTCCCTTCATGTACACTTGCTAATCGCAGTTTTGATACCTTTATTGGGATAATCTCTTGTAACAACACACACACTTTATCTTGTCTTGGACGTTTCCTCCATCATATAAAGAAAGTAAGAAGCAAACCTGATATTACAATCTGTAACTCATTATAGTCACAGTACTAATACCATGTACAATATGATGTTACCATTGTACTTGCATTTCTGTATTAATATCTCAATACATGAGAGATATGAAGATATTGGACACATACAATTTTAACCAGTCTTGACAATTTTAGAATGCTAATTTCTTGTAATAACATAAACATATTAACTTGCCTCATACGTTTCTTCTGTCATAGAAAGAAAGCAACAAGTAAATCTGATATTAAAATGTTTTATTTATTTTATTCACAGTACCAATAGTTAAGCATTTACAACACGATGTTACCTCTTTGCCTGTACTTGTATCAATATGTTGACATATGAGAGACATGTAAATTTTTTGACAAGAATGCTTTCTTTCCTGTACACCTGTTACTGTAGTCTTGATAATTTTGTCAGGCTAATCCATATTAACTATTGTCTTGAGAAGTTTACTATGCTAAGTTTTTGTACCAACATAAATACATTAAATTGCCTTGTACGTATAAAGAAAGTAACTAGTAAATCTGATATTAAAATGTGAAATTCAACGTAATGCAACAACATAATCATAATAATTCGTCTTGGACGTCTCCCTTGCCACATAAAGTGAGTAAAAAGGAAATCTGATATCACAATGTTTTATCCATTATATACATTGTATCTAATATACTCAAGCATGTATAATGCGATGTACCTATTTGTCTGCATTTTGTATTATGGGCCTCTGGCCTAGAACTACAGAAATAAATCTGTCTGTCTGTCTGTCTGATAAGAAAAATCATCCCCAACAGTTTAACGGTAAAATTATACAATATGATAATTGTGTTTAATTTCTGCTTATTCTTGTTCCTTCACTCCGTTGAACCGGCAGCTGGCAGGGGTAATGGAGGCGAAGAACGATTTGACATGCCACAATTTGTGCTTAAAATGTTTAATTAAATATATTGTACGTGAGTAATTATTAAATATGAGGTTGGAAATCTGAGAGCACAACTCTGTGAGGAAATGGGTGTCTACCTTTGATGATGGTGATATTTTATTTTAATATTAAAAATATTTTTTGAATCGAAGCGAGGGAAGCACGTTGCCAACCTTTGCTCGCTTCGCTCGCATATGGGAAGACTGGTCATTTTCTCTTTGTTGCGCAACCGTAGTTGCGCTACAATTTGCCTGTGGTCTGCCACATGTCACATCTTGCACAGCCCATTCAATATAATGTACATATTACTTAGCCCGTTTATTTTGAATGAGTCTACACATCTAATTACACATCATTATTAGAATGGCTTAGTTTCACTGAGAAAATATCCAAAAACGTGTAACACAATTTGGATTTGCGTAGCGATCCTTTGTTTACATGGGTTGTACGGCCCCACATGCTGTCATCTAAGCCTTATGGAGAGCAAACGAACAAGACCCTTTGATATATAACTATGTATTGTCATAAACCTTACTATCACAGTTGTAGAAGATTATTATGTAATAATGTAAAACATTATGAAGGCCGCCCCGAATCGCTCCCATTGGGCCAGTCTCTTCTTACTTGCGAATATGCGCGTTTGTTTACAAACAAGAGAAAAGGCCGGTCACGTGATATGCAAATAAGCCTGTGGCAGTGATTTTATGCTAAGTCATCACTGAGTCTATTCAAGAACCAGTTCTGGTTCCAAATACGACCTCCCTAGACCGGACCAAGTTTACAGCCATGCTTGGCTGTCACAGCTGTACTTGACAGTCGTAATAGTTGACTAATTTGGGAATGTTTAGATCGGAAATTTGACATGTTATTCCTGCAAGGACTGCCGGTTCCTTACTGGCAACTGACAACCACGACACCAATCGAAAAGGTATGAAACGTTGTTTGTCACCTTGAGTACTAAACAACGTAAGGCCTCGCGAAGTGCCGCCCCTTCTTACAGGTGCTATTGGTGATTTACCAGCTCGTTTAGCAAGTCCACGTGCAGATATGTGGCAGTTAGGGCTAAAATGGTTGTCATCAATATCAGCATTGTTACTGATCACATCACAGACATTTGAATTGTCTTTCACTGAAATTGTTTTAGTTCTTACATGGGAGGACTTTAAGAAGTAGGATAGAACCTCAACAATTACAAGCCTCCTTTATATTTATTCATTCATTCATTCATTCATTCATTTCAGTAATAAGGCCTCAGGCCCACGTACATATTACATGCAAATATTAAGTATACAATTGGTGCTGCATTTCCTAAATTTTAAAGATATGACGATCGTAGACTGACAGCGTCTTACACAAAATTTGCCAGTTTTTTTAACAGTAAGACATTAACAGTAAGAGGACTGTAGCAGTCTTACAAGAGTCTCTCTGTGACTGATATTTAAAATATTTCAGACGTATATCATGATAAACAGGACAAACAAGAATAAAATTAATTTCATGTTCAATAGCATTTAAATTACATAGTGGGCAAAAACGGATGTTTTTGTCCATACCCTGCCTCCTTCCTGCATTTTGCATTAAATCGAGTTCGCCGATTCTGAACAAGGTAAGCATGCGTGCGTATTCTTCACGAAAACTGCTTAGGTATAGCTCGTATACTTGTTTGCCCTTCCAAAGAACATATTTTGCTACTCAACAGAGAGAACATGATAATTTGGTGTCATAGTAAGTGAGCTACTTTGTACGTCGCGTTTAGCACTATTCAAGAAATACCATGGCAGGGACACCGGAAAGGGGATTCATACATGGTAGTTATGTTGGGAATCGAGTCCAGGCCTTTGAACTTGCGAGACCTTTAACCACACGGCTACTGTAACTAGGAGCTGCACGCCCGTGTTTAAACTTGTGCTAGTCTGTCTCACAGTCCCTGAACCACAATATTTCCCCGACTGCCAAGCGCTCCCTGCAGTGCTACTGCCCTAAATGAAACAAGTCATTTCCTCAGGGTCAGGCTGAATTTTCCATCTCATTATATAGAGGCTCCTTTTCAATTTATATGGGTTTATTTGTTGCTATCAAAATTTTGTATATTCAGACTAAGCGTCAGTTTAAACTTAACTTTAACTTTAAAGCGATGTAAGTCTATTATGAATGTGACTGTAACGTATGACTGTGCTCATGAACAGGGAGCGCACGTAGCCACGAATTACTTTATATTAATTAGATGTCCGAAACTGAACGACATGGGGACAGTGTAGTTGGACAGTAAGTAAATCTTGAAGCTATGTTAAAAGTCAAGGGTGACAAGGAGCACCGACATGATTGATGAGAGATTTAACGGTGGGATGGGAGATACGACTCGGACCACAAAACAGTAGACAGATCTTAAGTGAAGGTAATTAAGTATGGTATAAGTAGGTCGGGTTAGAATGGACATGAAACCATACGCATGACAGTAACATGTCATAATTTCATCGGTACAACCTAACCCTTGGTTTGATACATAACTTGTACGTGCTAAATACCTTGTACGTGCAGTAGTTGGGTATAATTGTATAAACTGTCCAACACAGGGTAGCCTGCCTCATTACAATAGTCCATGGCTTTTCCTATAGCTAAGAAGGCATAAGTTTCTAAATTCTTTGTTCTAAAAGGTGCTGCTGGTGCTGGTGCTGGTGCTGGTGCTGGCACTGGAGCTGGTGCTGCTGGTGCTAGTGGTACTTGTGACATGGAAGCCCTTGTGGGTTGTACAGATATAATCGCAAAAATCGGGGACGTGGCACAGGACTTGGCAAAGTTATGCAGGTAAATAGTTTAAGTCAAACACACCCGGTGGACCCACAGTCAACACTTCAACACATAGTCGCCACTGACAGTACCCACTCATCAACTGTCCCTGTTGTCAAAACACACTCATCCACACACTCATCCACTGTCCCTCTTGTCATTACACACTCATCCACTGTCCCTCTTGTCATTACACACTCATCCACTGTCCCTCTTGTCATTACACATCCACCCACTGTCTCTCTTGTCATTACACACCCACCCACTGTCCATCTTGTCATTACACACCCACCCACTGTCCATCTTGTCATTACACACCCACCCACTGTCCATCTTGTCATTACACATCCACCCACTGTCTCTCTTGTCATTACACATCCACCCACTGTCTCTATTGTCATTACACATCCACCCACTGTCTCTCTTGTCATTACACATCCACCCACTGTCTCTCTTGTCATTACACATCCACCCACTGTCTCTCTTGTCATTACACATCCACCCACTGTCTCTCTTGTCATTACACATCCACCCACTGTCTCTTGTCATTACACATCCACCCACTCTCTGTCTTACACACACCCACCCACTGTCTCTCTTGTCATTACACACCACACCCACTGTCTCTCTTGTCATTACACATCCACCCACTGTTCTTGTCACATCCACCCACTGTCATTACACATCCACCCACTGTCTCTCTTGTCATTACACATCCACCTCTCTCATCTCCACCCACTCTGTCATTACACACTCTTCTCTCTTTCATTACCCACTGTCCCTCTTGTCATTACACATCCACCCACTGTCTCTCTTGTCATTACACACCCACCCACTGTCTCTCTTGTCATTACACATCCACCCACTGTCTCTCTTGTCATTACACATCCACCCACTGTCTCTCTTGTCATTACACACCCACCCACTGTCTCTCTCTTGTCATTACACATCCACCCACTGTCTCTCTTGTCAGTACACACCCACCCACTCTCTCTCTTGTCATTACACACCCACCCACTGTCTCTCTTGTCATTACACATCCACCCACTGTCCATCTTGTCATTACACATCCACCCACTGTCTCTCTTGTCATTACACATCCACCCACTGTCTCTCTTGTCATTACACACCCACCCACTGTCCCTCTTGTCATTACACCCACCCACTGTCTCTCTTGTCATTACACACCTACCCACTGTCCATCTTGTCATTACACATCCACCCACTGTCTCTCTTGTCATTACACATCCACCCACTGTCTCTCTTGTCATTACACATCCACCCACTGTCTCTCTTGTCATTACACATCCACCCACTGTCCATCTTGTCATTACACATCCACTCACTGTCTCTCTTGTCATTACACACCTACTGTCCACTGTCCTTCTTGTCATTTGTCACACATCCACCCACTGTCCATCTTGTCATTACACATCCACCCACTGTCTCTCTCTTGTCATTACACACCTACCCACCCACTGTCTCTCTTGTCATTACACACCTACCCACTGTCCTGTCTCTGTCATTACACACATCCATCCACTGTCTCTCTTGTCATTACACATCCACCCACTGTCTCTCTTGTCATTACACATCCACCCACTGTCTCTCTTGTCATTACACACCTACCCACTGTCCCTCTTGTCATTACACATCCACCCACTGTCCCTCTTGTTATTACACATCCACCTACTGTCTCTTCTTGTCATTACACATCCACCCACTGTCCATCTTGTCATTACACATCCACTTGTCACTGTCTCTTCTTGTCATTACACATCCACCCACTGTCTCTCTTGTCATTACACACCACCTACCCACTGTCCCACTCTCCATCTCAGTACATTATCCACCCACTGTCCATCTTTGTCATTACACATCCACCCACTGTCTCTCTTTGTCATTACACATCCACCCACTGTCTTCTTGTCAGTACACATCCACCCACTGTCCATCTTGTCATACACACATCCACCCACTGTCCTCCATCTTGTCATTATACATCCACCCACTGTCTCTTCTTATGTACACATCCATCCACTGTCCATCCATTACACATCCACCCACTGTCTCTCTCTTGTCATTACACATCCACACACTGTCTCTCTCTTTCTCTTGTCATTACACATCCACCTACTGTCTCCTTGTTGTCATTACACTGTCATTGTCCATCTGTCCATCTTGTCATTACACATCCACCCACTGTCTCTCTTGTCATTACACACCTTGTCACCCACTGTCTCTCTTGTCTTTGTCATTACACACCTCATCCACTGTCCATCTTGTCATTACACATCCACCCACTGTCTCTCTTGTCATTACACACTCATCCACCACTGTCCATCTTGTCATTACATTGCCACCCACTGTCCCTTTTTGTCATTACACACTCCATCCACTGTCCATCTTGTCATTACACATCCACCCACTGTCTCTCTTGTCATTACACAGCCATCCACTGTCCCTCTTGTCATTACACATCCACCCACTGTCTCTCTTGTCATTACACATCCACCCACTGTCTCTCTTGTCAGTACACATCCACCCACTGTCCATCTTGTCATTACACATCCACCCACTGTCTCTCTTGTCAGTACACATCCACCCACTGTCTCTCTTGTCATTACACATCCACCCACTGTCTCTCTTGTCATTACACATCCACCCACTGTCTCTCTTGTCATTACACACCCACCCACTGTCCTCTTGTCATTACACACCCACCCACTGTCCTCTTGTCATTACACACTCACCCACTGTCCATCTTGTCATTACACACCCACTGTCCATGTCTCTTGTCACTGTCCATCTCTTGTCATTACACACCCACCCACTGTCTGTCTTTGTCATTACACACCCACCCACTGTCCATCTTGTCAATACACACCCACCCACTGTCATGTCATTACACACCCACCCCCACTGTCCCTCTTGTCATTACACACCAACCCATCCACTGTCCATCCCTTTGTCATTACACATCCACCCACTGTCTCTCTTGTCATTACACACTCATCCACTGTCCATCTTGTCATTACACATCCACCCACTGTCCCTCTTGTCATTACACACTCATCCACTGTCCATCTTGTCATTACACACCCACCCACTGTCCCTCTTGTCATTACACACTCATCCACTGTCCCTCTTGTCATTACACACCCACCCACTGTCCCTCTTGTCATTACACACCCACCCACTGTCCCTCTTGTCATTACACACCCACCCACTGTCCCTCTTGTCAGTACCCGCTCATCTACTGTGTGATGTATGCTCACCTCCTGTATATAAAACTCAAGCTAGTTGGTCACATGCCTGCATGAAGTATAATTCACATACTCTCCATGTCTTTACCCCACAGCGTCGTCAGCGACTACAAAGATTGTTTATCGGCCCAAAAGAATTGTGATACTTCTGCTCAACTAAAATCTTTGGACGATATCGCGAAGCAAGCTAATATGGATCTAAATTCATGTGAGTATTTAATTCTATCACCATCCCTTCATACCAGCGCTTGGTGAAATCACAACACTCGGTTGCAACGCCATTTTCGTTGATGAAAACTACTCTCCGCAGCATTAAGCTTTGTATCAATTTGGTATATAAGCCATATTTTCGATTTATGTTTTTTCAAATACGTGTCTCACAGGCCGTTGCGTAGTAGGGTATGTGTGTGTCTGCATGTGTGCAAGGGCGGATCCAGGATTTTGGAGAAGGGGGCAGCACATAAATCATGAAGTCTCAGGTTAGGGCAAAATAGTCCTCTGTTAATTATATTTTGGGGGAAAAAGTAGGTGCACCCCGGGTGTGTGTGTGTGCGTGCGTGCGTGTGGAGAGAAATAAAGAGATGGTAAGGGATTTGCAGTTAAGGTGAACCCGAAAGAGACGCGAAACTGGGTGGGAGGGTGTCCGGTGTGCATATTAATGAAGGTTCATAGTATGATTCCAGGGTTTCACGTTAGGTTTGAATGTATTCACGGGATAATAGCCTACATGTATTCTTACAGGTGACACGAGTACTTAGGGTTGAATGTATTCACGGGATAATAGCCTACATGTATTCTTACAGGTGATACGAGTACAGGTGACACGAGTACTTAGGGTTGAATGTATTCACGGGATAATAGCCTACATGTATTCTTACAGGTGACACGAGTACTTAGGGTTGAATGTATTCACGGGATAATAGCCTACATGTATTCTTACAGGTGACACGAGTACTTAGGGTTGAATGTATTCACGGGATAATAGCCTACATGTATTCTTACAGGTGACACGAGTACTTAGGGTTGAATGTATTCACGGGATAATAGCCTACATGTATTCTTACAGGTGACACGAGTACTTGCGACTTTACGGGTGTCATGAAGTGCTCTGAGATACTGCAAAAAAACGAAGGAAGTTCACAAGACAAAGGCACGCTGTGCAGGTAAAACATCCAGACATTTTGCATAAATCAACAGAATCTTCTTGCCCATTACCTCTATATCAGCCACATCACATCTTACGGATTATACATATAGTTTGGCAGAATTAGTTCACTAATACTCTGCCCATCCTCTGATACTGTTAACAGCATCCTTGTCTACAAGAGCTCACTAATGCACTGCACGTCCTCTGATGCTGTTAACATCATCTATATTTACAAGACCTCACTAATACTCTGCCCATCCTCTGATACTGTTAACAGCATCCTTGTCTACAAGACCTCACTAATTCTCTGCCCATCCTCTGATACTGTTAACAGCATCCTTGTCTACAAGAGCTCACTAATGCACTGCACGTCCTCTGATGCTGTTAACAGCATCTTTATTTACAAGACCTCACTAATACTCTGCCCATCCTCTGATACTGACAACAGCATCCTTGTCTACAAGACCTCACTAATACTCTGCCCATCCTCTGATACTGTTAACAGCATCCTTGTCTACAAGACCTCACTAATACTCTGTCCATCCTCTGAAACTGTTATCAGCATCCTTGTCTACAAGACCTCACTAAATGCTCTACCCATCCTCTGAAACTGTTATCAGCATCCTTGTCTACAAGACCTCACTAAATGCTCTAACCATCCTCTGAAACTGTTATCAGCATCCTTGTATACAAGACCTCACTAATGCACTGCACGTCCTCTGATACTGTTATCAGCATCCTTGTATACAAGACCTCACTAATGCACTGCACGTCCTCTGATACTGTTATCAGCATCCTTGTATACAAGTCTTCACTAAATGCCCTGCCTATAGTGTACAGCAACCACCCGATCGCCATTGTTGATATTTACATCTTATAACATCCCGTGACCTGTCCCTCAATGTGAACACCCAAGCTTGCTAGAGTAGCAAGATGTCAGTTATGTAGAGACTTCACGATGGCCTAACTGACTTTTTGTTTGTTATTTAACGCCGCACTCAGCACTTTTCCAGTTGTAATGACGGCGGTCTGTAAATAGTCACGTCTGGACCAGGCGGTCCAGTGATTGACATGAGTAGTGATATGTGGATATGATTACTTGCACAAGTCAGTGAACCTGACCAGGTCTTACGACAAGCATGGGTTGCTGAAAACCAATTCTGTGACATATGTACATGTATTTTGGTGACAATAGGTATGCCACTCAAACGAAGTAAAAGAACACACACACCTTTAATATTAACCTGTCATTTGTCTCTTGAGGAGAAAATATTATTGTTTACTTTTTGAAAATATATTTTACATATGATATCTTGCCATGCATAAAGAACTATATTAAGTGAATAGACATTGTTCACTTTAAAGGCTACTTTCATTGACTTTCATATTCTCCTTGTAGAGTGTTCGGTCAGTACAAAGGTTGTCTATCGGAACAGAAAAACTGTGATACTGCAACATTCTTGAAACGTATGGAAGAAACCGTGAAGGACGTTGGAGTTGATTTAAGCACCTGTAAGTATCAAACTGTCTCAACAAGGTCCCTTGTAACTATGTCAACCTATTGAAACATGCACATGTGTAGGTTGGTTGGTTTGTTGTTTAACGCCACACTCAGCAATATTCCAGCTATACGGAGGCGGTCCGTAAATTGATCGACTCTGGACCAGACAAACCAGTGATCAACATCATGAGCATCAATCTGCGCAATTGGAATACGATGACATGTGTCAACCAAGTCAGCGACCCTGACCACCCGATCCCGTTAGCCGCCTCTTACGACAAGCATGGGTTACTAAAGATCAATTCTACCCCGGATCTTCACGGGTCACATGTGTAAAGATCTCTCTGTAAATATATATATTCTTTCGTAGGTATCCGGAACGATGCTATCAGTTATATCATTTTGATGACAAGCAAATAAATACTAGATAAAAAATGCATCTAAAGGCGTATCTGTGTCTGTTACATTGCTCGTTGTATACGACGAATTTGTCAGTGTAAAATAACCAAAATATTTTGAAAAAAATGGTCAGCCAAAAGAACAAGACAGAATATCATGGTCAAACTACTGGAACACAAAGCTATTGCGAATCGAGATAGCAAATGTCTATGAAGACATTTCTTTTGAATAATAGAAAATGTAAAGATTGATATTTTCGAAGGTCATTTTCCTCCTCTGTGGAATCAACCAAGCTAGACTTGGCTACGTTTGTTGTCGACTTGCTTAGTCTTTCAAATCCACTGATGGATTAAGACTCCTTTAATCTATTCAAATAGGCTATTTGTTTTGGGAAAGTACGTGTCATGTTTTCCTTATATTTGAAATTTTGTTAGATGGGTATTCAATATTTGATAAAAACAAACTACCTTAGTGAAATATCATTCGTAATATTTAACTGCAGATTGTATGTCTCTACAGCTTGCATGTTTGAATGATGATCAGGTATGTACTCATTTGGATGTTTCTCCTCTATCTTGCAGGCTCCGCTGGGATGGTTCAAGTTTCCGTCGCCTGTGTCCTCCTGACTCTCCTTGCATCCTTCTTCGCTCGCTAATTACATCCACCGGGAGTCTTAGTCAACTTTTGTTGTGTTCTTCAAGGTCACCTTCATTGCTGTATCTCTTTTCCTTTACAGTGCTTCTTCACACTTCTTTCCACTACGCTAACACTAAAGTGTCCAAAATATCTGCAGGCATACCAAGACAGCTTCTTTTCTCTATAAATATATTTTGGTTATGTTCATGTGTGTAGGTCTCATAAATAATTTTTGTAAATTCTGTAGTCAAATGTTATTTATCCTCGTGTTTGTCGAGTGAGGTGAGGTGAAATTGGGTTTAACTTCGTGCTGGAGAATATTTCGCTCATATGACGACGTACATGCGTGTGTATGTGTAAGTGCGGCTGTTTGTAGTAGCCCAGACTTAAGCTGGTTTTATAGTGCTAGCCCACTGAGATACCATGCCGCAGTGAAGCATGAATACCCTACTCAGACACATTATACTGACTCCGAGCCGACCAGTCCTTGTTGTACCCATTAATGCCGAGCGCCAGGCAGGGACCAACAAGTACCATATTTTAACGTATTTTGGTATGACGCGGTCGGGGATCGAACCCGCGACCTTCCGCTCTCCGGGCGGACGCTCTAACCACTACACCACGGAGGCGGTCGGTTGTCGAGTGGATGTGTAAGACTATTCTTTCCTGAGTGTAGAGAATGAATGTTGAATGTGAGTCAGAAACGACCCAACTGTGGCAGATAAACTAATGGTGCACACATCAGCAAAATTCTCGCCATCGAGGCACGGTGACGAACTATCTGCCATAACATACTAAATTTATATGTCTTCACCGTACAGTAACTTCGTGACACTTACGATGGTAAAATGACGTACGTAATTACTCTATGAAAATGGCCTTTATGTCCATATTCACCGAAAGCGAGGAACGAGATCTTACAAACGGAAATTGCCTGCGTCGTAGATGCATTACGGGATTGCAGTTAACGACCGCCATTATTCAAACAGTGAATTCAAGTGTCCTGCTCAATCAATGTCAGTGGCAAACGGTGCCATTTGTAAGTATACCAGTCGCGAAGACTATGAAGTTCAGGAAGCATTCTAGACAATGCATCATAAACAATTATACCGAGATGGAGAACAACAGGGGAGCCTGTTGCTAGTGATGGTCGTTCGTTATGTTTACGTTCAAACACTGTACGACCTTAAACTCCATCTGTTTCATGACATTTTAAGATTTTAAACTCTTGATGTCGGTTCATAACCAACAAGTGTGTCTCCAAGACATGAAGACTACTTAAAAGATGGAGTTTTATTTATGTCCAAAATGATAGCACGAGCTTGGTGTGCCTCAGGTTTGAATTATATTTTTTATATTTTATATTTTTTGTAGTTAAGTATACATTTTATTAAGATACCTCTTTTTTCTGGAACTTTATTCCATTCCCCCACATACACACCTGAACAGGGATCATGGCGTTTGTCGGCATGAAACGCAAATGAGCCACTCAGAGTTGTGTAGTTGACTCATTTGTAACCAAATACTGAGATCGTTGGTTCCAAATATTACATTTTCTGCTGAAATATTTGAGACAAGATAAAATGAGAGGGAGACGACTAAATATTCATGTACATTTTGAAATTTCTAAATGATCACCATTTGTTTCACAATTACTTTCGAATATTGAACATCAACAAGGAACCTTTTAGCATCCGATTTCATAACACATGATTAAAAACAGTTCAGGGAAACTTTTGTCTGGAAATGTCAGTACAAACAAACGAGCCAGAGCTTAATGACAATTCATTAGCCATTGGTGAAGTTTGTGTGGATACTGAATTGATGAAGCTGATATTTTAATATAATGGAGAGAATGAAAATGTGTTGTATGAAATATTGCTCAAATTTACTTTGAATCGGATGCGAAAAGGAGTACTGAGATGATCGAGTAAACCAATTTCAGTTTGTGTTGATTAAATCAGTTGTGAAAGAATGATCGTCGTTTCGTTGTATATATTATTTGTTTCTATTTCCATGATCAAAGAATGATACAGCATTTGATTACGCTTGATTTGTTTGATCTCGACGCCGCACTCATCAATTTTCCAGCTGTATGACAGCAGTCTATAAATAATGGTGTCCGAACTAGACTATACATCACCAAAAGAGATATAAGCAATTGGATAATATGACATTCATCAACCAAGTCAGCGAGCCTGACCACCGCATTGAAAACACAAGCGGTAATTATTTTCACGACCGTACGCATCCACCTTTTAGTGGCCTTGTTCTACAGAAAGAAATTCATGTAATACCACTGCTAGTTTCCCATTACGTCTAGTCAAATCTGACTACTAACGGAGAGTGTTTAATCCCCGACCGTGACAATTTATACTTGTTTCTAGGGACGGAATTGTACAATAGTACAAACATTTTGGTATGGAATAGTTGTGTCCATTATTTCATTTGTAGTTTCTGTTTGTAACCCATGTATTACACATACATGAGAAATTCGGTAAATATATCCTCTATTGGAAACAACTAAAACCCCCTACTTGGACTTAACTGATAATACGGATTAGGCCTAATAGAGATTAGGCATGTTATTCCTAAAAATCCAAGTATTTGGTTTACGTCCTAACACCCCTTTCTTGTCTTCCTCTGCTGACGCGTCTCTCTGACCCTTCAACATCGAGTACATATTAAAAGGCAGGAAGTACAATTGTTGTTCAAGGATGTCAACAACGTTTCACCAGCACAGCATGCCAAGAGAATCCATGATATACCACTGGGCTGGTTAGCTATTGGTGACTTTTCCTTTCAAGAAGTTGTTGGACTTTGGACTTGACTTATTATGCCTAGTGTTTGGTACACTGTGGTAGATGAACCATTGAGAACAAACCGGAAGGCATATAAACTTCCCGAGATTTGTGATAATTGCTGTACTTGACCAAACTACACATGACCTGTGAGCGACAGAATTTTATTCAATGACATATTTACAGTAAACCTAGAAATAAAATATTGACATTAAACCTGTAAATGTTAAATTTACATTCAACCTGCCAATGGCATATTTAAGTTAAACGTATCAGTGACATATTTACATTAAACGTATTACTGACATATTTACATTAAACGTATTAGTGACATATTTACATGAACCCTATTAATGCCATATTTACATTTAACCTACTAGTGACATATTTACATGAACCCTATTACTGACATATTTACATTAGCTATATTAATGGTATATTTACATTTAACGTATTAGTGACATATTTACATAAACCCTATTAATGACATATTTACTCTAGCCACATTAATGATATATTTACATTTAGCGTATTAGTGACATATTTACATAAACCCTATTAATGAAATATTTACATTAGCCATATTAATGATATATTTACATTTAGCGTATTAGTGACATATTTACATAAACCCTATTAATGAAATATTTACATTAGCCATATTAATGATATATTTACACGTATTAGTGACATATTTACATAAACCTTATTAATGACATATTTACATTAGCCATATTAATGATATATTTACACGTATTAGTGACATATTTGCATGAACAAAATTAATGACAGATTTACATTAGCCCTATTAATGACATATTTTCATTTACCCTATAAATGACACATTTACATTAACTCCATTAATGACAGATTTACATGAACGCTATTAATGACATATTTACATTAACCCTGTTAATGGCATATTTTCATTTAAGATTTAAACTATGAAATATATATCTACACTAAACCTATGAGCTATACATTTTAACGAAAGTTTTAAACAATTTATTTTCGATACACCTATACATGATAGTTTTAACTGAAGTTTGATTTCACATCTTTACGCTCAATCTGTTAATGATCTATTCACACTAGGTACTAGTATATGGACGATATCTTCCCATATAAATCTCTTATCAGTTTACTTAAACACCTACTTATACCTATGGATCACATCGTTACGCTTCAGCGAGAACACGAAATACGTTACGCTTCAACCTGATTGGGTATTTCCACCCACTTGCATTTGATATTTGTCACGCAATGACACCTGAATTTCGGCCAAAACATATTTTTCTAAAGAAGTTAAAGACTGACTGACTGAGTTTAGTTTTACGCCGCTTTTAGCAATATTCCAGCAATATCACGGCTGGGGGCACCAGAAATGGACTTAACACATTGTGCCCATGTTGGGATTCGAACCCGGGTCTTTGGCGTGACGAGCCAACGCTTGAACCACTAGGCTACCCCACCGCCCCAGGAGTTAAAGAACACCCTATTGTTTCATATTACTACAATAAGCCTACACTATTTTTATTAGTAATACGAAAGATACATAGGCTGTCATGCCAATGAATCTGCCTTGCCACAACAAATTAACTTTAGTAATAGTTAAGAATCGCATGTCAAACGTCTTTTTTAGTTGCATACCAAGTAAAGCCATGACCACTTTGTACGAATCTGGGATCTGAGACCTTGACCTGAAGGTCATGTGACAGTTAGCGGCTCACATCCTAGACTAAGGCTTAGTCTCTGAATATATATAATTTTGATAGTAACAAACAAGCCCATTTATATTGAAAAGGAGCCCTAGGGAGACCAGAGATTCAGACTTGCTTCATTTAGGGCTTTAGCACTGCAGAGAGAGCTTGGCAGTAGGGAAAATAATGTGGTTCAGGGACTGTGAGACAGACTACTCACATCCATCCAGTTGTAGTTGGCCTCATGCCCACGTGTTACGTGTGAGTTTAGTTTTACACCGCTTTCAGCCATATTCGAGCAATATCACGGCGGGGGACTCCAGGCATGGGCTTCACACATCGTAACTTTGTAGGGGAATCAGACCCAGGTCCTCGGCGTGACAAACCACGCTTTAACCACTAGGTTACCACCGCCTGTGTTCCAATGTTAGGAAGACCGTTAACACATACTTAAATGACACACACTGTCGTCGAGTTGCCATAGGTGTTTGGTATTTTCTTTTGCCAAACCAGAAACCTAGCTTATGCAAAGTGTTCCTCCGCTTATCAATCTGCACTAAACGCATGTGTACTCGACTGCTACAGAGCAGTCCAAACGTGAATCATCAAGAGGTTGAACTGGAAACGTACTCTGTGGACGCAATTGCTCTCATATCCAAGACTAACGCTTAGTCTCTGAATATATTTAATTTTGACAGAAACAAATAATTCCTTTTAAATTGAAAATGATCCTCAATGAGA